CTACTTCTCTGTTAGGCGACGGCACACTCACAAATGAGATTATGGCTAGACTCTTTGGAGTACAGTCCCAAAGATCTGTCTAGTCTAGCATCCTGTTTCCAACAGCGCACAGCTGGATTCTCCTCTCTCACTGTCTCCAGCACCTGGCATACGGAGATAATGTTGTGTCTCAACAGGGGGGTTTCCTTTGTTTACGTATTTAAATTGATACCCCACCTTTTCCTCCAAGGAGACCAGCAACAACCCTGGGAGGTAGGCTGAGAGGCAGCGACTGGACCAAGGCCACCCAGTGAGCTTCACGGCCAAATGGGGATTTGAACCCTGGCTCTCTTATCAGTCATGGCTAATCACTGTTGATCGACCTACTCCACATAGAGATTGTGTGGTTTTACCCACTCTGGAAGAATGGCAGATGAAGGTGATGGACTACATGGAATTGGCGGAAATGACTGGCAGAATCCGAGACCAGGGAGAAGAGTCGGTGGAAGAAGATTGGAAGAAATTTAAAGACTATCTACAGAGCTATTGCAAAATTAATGAATGTTAGAATGATGTTGGATTGAAATTAAGTGGTTTCTAGCTGTAATGGTATAAAAGAATATGAAAAAATGGTTTTTTATAAGTAAAAATTCAAGGTTATAATAACTTAAGATTAAAGATCAGGGTAGAATAAAGAGGGAAAGAAACTGCTGAGCTAATAAATTGAATTGGAATACAAAAAAGGGAGGTACGAGGAGGTCCAGGAAACAAGTAAATGAGAAATAATGTGATGAAAAGATTGATTGTTTTTAACTATTTTTATTTTGTATTTTTTCTTTTTCTATTTTGTAATGTAAAAACCCTAATAAAAATGTTATATTAAAAAAAAGAGATTGTGTGGTTTTAAAGGTAAAGGGACCCCTGACCACTAGGCCCAGTCGTGGCCGACTCTGGGGTTGCGGCGCTCATCTTGCTTTATTGGCCGAGGGAGCCGGCGTACAGCATCCGGGTCATGTGGCCAGCATGAATAAGCCGCTTCTGGCAAACCAGAGCAGCGCACAGAAACGCCGTTTACCTTCCCGCCGGAGCGGTACCTATTTATCTATTTGCACTTTGACGTGCTTTCGAACTGCTAGGTTGGCAGGAGCTGGGACTGAGCAACGGGAGCTCACCCTGTCGCGGGGATTCGAACCGCCGACCTTCCAATCGGCAAGTCCTAGGCTCTGTGGTTTAACCCGCAGCGCCACCCGCAACTGGTCCAAGGCCAGTGAGCTTCACGGCCAAATGGGGATTCGAACCCTGGCTCTCTTATCAGTCATGGTTAATCACTGTTGATCGACCTACTCCACATAGAGATTGTGTGGTTTGAAAAAGGGCCAAATGGAATGGATTTTGCCACAAGTAACAGCAGGAGATTCCACAAATTCATTACACATTGCACGGGAAATCCTGCATTTTGTTCTTTTCCAATTTGAAACGCCCCCCCCCCCACTGCCATTGGGACGCGGGTGGCGCTGTGGGTTAAACCACAGAGCCTAGGACTTGCTGATCAGAAGGTCGGTGGTTCAAATCTCCATGACGGGGTGAGCTCCCATTGCTCGGTCCCTGCTCCTGCCAACCTAGCAGTTCGAAATCACGTCAAAGTGCAAGTAGATAAATAGGTACCACTCCAGCAGGAAGGTAAACGGCGTTTCCGTGCGCTGCTCTGGTTCACCAGAAGCGGCTTAGTCATGCTGGCGTCATGACCCGGAAGCTGTACGCCGGCTCCCTTGGCCAGTAAAGTGAGATGAGTGCCGCAACCCCAGAGTCGGCCATTACTGGACCTAATGGTCAGGGGTCCCTTTACCTTTACACTGCCATTGCCATCATATGCTATCCTGGACCCCCCCTTTCTTTCCCTCTTCTACAGCTGGTCATTCTCCAAAACCCACCCCTAGCTACCTTTTCTCTTTCCTTTCGGAGAAGACCTCTTAATCTGCAGCCTGCCTTGAAATACAGGCATGACCCAGTGCTGGAGTGTACTGCTAATTCAATTTTGGGGCACAAGATTATTTGCAGAACACCAAACGCTTTGCGAGTCTAATCTCCTCTGCTAATTTAACTGCTGTCAGCCTAGGGCTCTTCGGGTATTGAATCCCACTGCTCTTCATTTTTTCTGCAGACACAAAAACTGGCGTAAGGCCGGGCAGAGCTGCGACAAAAATCTGGCTGCCAAATCCAGCTCCAGAATTGTCAAAACATTTATCCAAGGAGGAACCTTCAGTCAGCTTTTAGGTGGCGTTGGGCCTGTGGTAGCTAAAGCACATATTGATGCCTACCCTGGGTGATTATTCTAGTTCTGGAAATGCTCTTATTTCCCCTCTGCAATTCCTCTCTTAAGCCTTAACCTCAAAATCCAGTACTAAACTCGGGAATGTCAAAGTCCTGTGCTGCTCAGCCATGGCAAAGCTCAGAGGAGGGAGAAGCCAGCCAGCCAACCATCCAAAGTCTCAGGGGGGTACTTGCCTGGAGGCAGAGTCCGTATACAAGGTTCAGTCCTGTCCTAAGGTCAGGAATATAATAATTTATAATAATTTATTATTTATACCCTGCCCATCTGGCTGGGCTTCCCCAGCCACTCTGGGCGGCTTCCAACCAAATATTAAAATACAGTAATACATCAAACATTAAAAGCTTCCCTAAACAGGGCTGCCTTCAGATGTCTTCTAAAAGTTTGGTAGTTGTTGTTCTCTTTGACATCTGGTGGGAGGGTGTTCCACAGGGCGGGTGCCACTACCGAGAAGGCCCTCTGCCTGGTTCCCTGTAACTTGGCTTCTTGCAGTGAGTGAACTGCCAGAAGGCCCTCAGCGCTGGACCTCAGTGTGCAGGTAGAACGATGGGGGTGGAGACGCTCCTTCAGATATACTGGACCAAGGCCATTTAGGGCTTTAAAGGTCAGCACCAACACTTTGAATTGTGCTTGTAAAAGTACTGGGAGCCAATGTAGGTCTTTCAAGACCGGTGTTATATGGTCTCAGCGGCCGCTCCCAGTCACCAGTCTAGCTGCCGCATTCTGGATTAGTTGTAGTTTCCGGGTCACCTTCAAGGGTAGCCCCACGTACAGCACATTGCAGTAGTCCAAGTGGGAGATAACTAGAGCATACACCACTCTGGCGAGACAGTCTGCAGGCAGATAGGGTCTCAGCCTACGTACCAGATGGAGCTGGTAAACAGCTGCCCTGGATACAGAATTGACCTGCGCCTCCAAGGACAGCTGTGAGTCCAGAATGACTCCCAAGCTGCGCACCTGCTCCTTCAGGGGCACAGTTACCCCATTCAGGACCAGGGAGTCCTCCACACCCACCCGCCTCCTGTCCCCCCAAAACAGTACTCCTGTCTTGTCAGGATTCAACCTTAATCGGCTAGCTGCCATCCATCCTCCAATATCTCAGTTCACGTGGTCAGACGATCCGGGGGAGGGGGGTCAAGAAAGCCGAGGGTCCAAGGTCGCAAGAAGCAGCAAGGTCTGGCCAGGAACGACGAATGTTGTTTCCAGCAACTGATTTGAGGCTGGAAACCCTACTTAAGCAAGCTGGAGCCAGCTGGTTCTCCTCAGGAGCAAGAAGGCTGAAAACCCCCAGGTGGCGTCATTCTGCCTTCTACTCCTTCAGGCTGCTGCTCAGCAGGTGAAGTCGACTCCTGGCCCATGTCAGGGACAAGGAGAAAGAGTAAGGCTGTGCACACAGCGTACATTAAGAATTTTGGGAACTATAGTTTACCTGCAGAGCTACTAATTCCCAGCACCCTTAGGAAACTAGAGTTCCCAGGATTCTTGGGGGTGTGTGTGTTTTAAGTGTGTCGTGTGAATGTAACCAATAAGGGGTTCAAGGAGTGGTGACTTTAGTCCTGATTCACCCGGTGTTTTATTGGCCGGAGGAAAACCTGCTCAAAATTACGTTTCCCCCCTCTATAAATCAAATACTTTGATGCAGCAAAGTCAACGCATTTACTAGTGGTCTTAATCCGGATTGGTTGACCTGTGTTAGAACAGAATAGTGGGTCTATGAAGTTGAAAACGTGCCGTTTAGGATTTGATATAGTTACAGGTAGGTAGCCATGTTGGTCTGCCGTAGTCGAAACAAACAAACAAACAAACAAATTCCTTTCAGTAGCACCTTAGAGACCAAGAAAGTTTGTTACTGGTATGAGCTTTCATGTGCATGCACACTTCTTCAGATACAGATTCAGGAACTAAGTACTGCATTTTTTGCTCTATAAGACTCACTTTTTCCCTCCTAAAAAGTAAGGGGAAATGTGTGTGCGTCTTATGGAGCGAATGCAGGCTGCGCAGCTATCCCAGAAGCCAGAACAGCAAGAGGGATTGCTGTTTTCACTGCGCAGCGATCCCTCTTGCTGTTCTGGCTTCTGAGATTCAGAATATTTTTTTTCTTGTTTTCCTCCTCCAAAAACTAGGTGCGTCTTGTGGTCTGTTGCGTCTTATAGAGCGAAAAATACGGTATTTATCCTCTCAAAGGAATGGCCAGGCTACCCAGAAAAGGCAATCAGATAAGGCATTATCAGGTATCCCGGCAGACAGGAGAGAAGCAACACACTCAAATTTCTGCTGGGAGACCCCCTCTTTCTGTGATGTATGTATGATGTTTTGGGGGTTGGTCGGGAGCAGGGGACCCTGTTGCAACAGTTTAATAAAGATCAGCCTTACTAGCTGCTTTGCTTCTCAATATTCCCTGGTTGGCCTGTGTTTTTTTCTCTTACCGATAGGGAACCCACTTAAGGACTCTATACGGGTTCTTGGGAACCCCATAAGGGATAAAGGAGCAGTTTTTTCTTAGAGCACCTAGGAACAAAGAACCCTTCACCCACCCATTCTGCCCACACACAACCCAGAAATCGGCAGCCCCGAATGGCAAGTTGTGAAAGCGACCACTGCTGGGCCTTTTGCCGGGCAGAGATTAGATTTCCACTAATCTGCTTCTCTCACCCACCCCCCATATGTCGAGAAGGAGCACACGCACCAAATATTCCAAACCAAAAAAAGAGTTTGTTTTATTGAAAGTGTAATGAAATTTTCTTCATATTGCTTGTATGAAATGAGAGACAGCAGCTTGTAGGCAAAAGATGCTTTTTTTTGTTTTTTTTTGTTTTACAAATGAAAATTTGGGGGAAGGGGGTTAAAAATAAAAGTATTTTAAACTGGTACCTTTCGGCACCGTTAAGCAATATATATATATATATATATATATATATATATATATATATAATCACACACACACTCACACACTCTGAGAGAAAGCAAACATAAAGCTGTTGAAACCAAAGAGTTTCAATCAATACATTAGATAATTACAGATTTGTGTCAATAAATACCCAATTTTGTTTTTCAGGTTTTTCTCTCTCTTTTTCTTTTTTTTAAAAAGAAGACAGTTTGAACAGGCAACATTTTATACAAGGTACAGAAAGGGGAAAATATATATCTATTTACAAATCAGTGCACCCGGGGTGAGTAGGAGCAGGAAGTTGGCACCAACAAAACGAAACAAAGAAATGAATAAATTAGAGGGGGGAGGATCATGAAGGCAGGAGGGTTTTTCTAACACCCTCAATCTCCCAACATTCATTTTAAAATGACGTATGCAAAGGAACGCAGGAATGTTCTAAAAATTGTTGCTTTAGTGCCAAAGAATGAAAACAAAAATAGAAAAAGCAGTACCAAAAAAACAACAACCCCAAATGTGCCAAAGCATTTTTTTAAAAAAAAGTAGGCTGAGGTTTTTTTTTAAATTATTATTTTAAAAGACTCCCACAAATTAAATAAAAAACGGTGTATATATAAGTATGTATAGTTTAAAAAGTTAAGCAGATCTTTAAAGTTTTCTCACAGTGGGATAACCCCTTTGCACTAGATAGATGCCAGATTATTCTGTAGACATTTTCTCTTTACCACGCAGGTTTGTTAAAGGGGGGGGAACCCCTCTTTGCATAGACCAGATGGGGCAAAGTCTTTCCAACCAAAAGGTTCCCATGTGGAAGGAATTCCGGGTGCTTTGTACATCTCTGGGAGGTCAAAGTGCAGGTCTTCCAATCTCAGGAGAGGCAGGAATTCCATCTATTTCCATTAACGAAGCTTAGGCCACTTTTTTTAAAAAAAACCAAAACACAAAACCCAAAGCACAGCCACCAGGCCCAACCATCAGGTTAACCAACAAAATCCTAAATGTCAACTTTTCATGGCCTAAGGGAATTCTACTGAAAACCATCTTTGACCTGTTCCCGTAAGTGGGATTCTAGTTCACTAGAGAATAATCTTTGAAAGAAAAGGTGCGCAATAAATCTGGATGATTCTGCCTCCTCCTGCTAATAGCGCCATGGACAGTCAGTACTGAAACTGCAGTCCCTGGCTAAAGATTGTGGGTTAAGACCCCCAAAGATATCCCAAAGCACCCTGAGGCTTGCAAGCACAGTCTTTTGCTCCCCACCGCCCCCCCCCTTTTGCAATTTTTGCTCTTTCCATTCCTCTAAAAAATTGCAACCTTGGCAGCTCCAGAATTGGTTCCTCTATATATTCAGGCAGCATAGTAATAGATCAGATTGGTTCTATCAAAAAAAATCTCATGGCCAAATCCTTAAGGACATTAAATAAATTACAAAATAATTTACCACACCATTTTAACCTTTCCTCTCTCTCCTTTAAATAGTTCATTCTATTCCCTCTCTCTTCATAGTTCCCGGCCTCCTTATAATTGCCCCTGGCAGAATGATGGACATCGCACACAAACTGTGATTTCATTTTTCAAATGGTTATAGCGACATACAACCTTGTGGTGCAGCGCTTTAGTCCTGCGCCACACAGCGCTGCAGTGATGCATGGAGAGTGTCTTTCATGCTCAGCTGCAGCAGCCAATGCGCCGCATGCTCAGAAATTCAAAGGCTCTCCTACACCACAGGTGTGTGACCCAGAGAGAGGCCCTTTCACTTGCACCTTTTGTGGCAACGACACTCCCCATTTCTGCATTCATATCTGCACTGCAAAGCTACTGCACAGGTTTAAAAGCCAACCTCCTAATAGTAACCTCTGTGGTCCACTAAGGAAGAAATGGAGCCCCATAACTCTTGAAGCTTCCCTGGCTCCCATCACGCCCAATGATGGGAGTCCTAGTCTGGCAACACCCAGAAGGTCCACAATCTCTCCGATCCAAGAAGAGGGGCTGAGGAATCTCTCAAGGAGTCTTCCCAACTCTCTCCTAAGATGACTAAATTTCTGAGAAGTTCCATTTAGAAGCCCAGAATGGTTTGTAGTGTGGATATGGGGCTTATGCAAAAGACAGGGGATGGGGGGTTGTCTTTTACGGCCTTGAAAATAGAACAACTCCTCAGTGTTTTAACCAAGAGGGCAAAATGGGGCACCTGAACCAAGAGACCCATTGAGGCAGGCTTGGGCTATTTGCAGGTCCTTGATAAACCACAGTCCTACCCAGGCATGAACACGAAATAAATAAATACAGATATATTATGCAAAAAAAATTATGATTGTACACATAATACATCCGAGGTATGACTAATTTAAATAAGATTCGGCGCTCAGTTCAAGCTTCGAAGGCTACTTGAAAACTGTGGAGGTTTGCAATAAATAGAGGGAATTATGTATATAATAGTGTGTGTTGTGTCATTTATTCTGCTTCCTTGTAAACCTCTTCCCATTTAAGCAAGAGCAAACTCTTCAGCAAATCCTTCCCCCCACCCCACCCACAATAAATATAATTATATATACTTAGACTTCCCAAAGTAGCTTGAGAAAATTGTCTGCAAACATTTGAAGACGTTCACAGAAGGTGCTTTGTGGACGAGCAACGCATTTCTCACGAGGTCTTTCCCCGCCCCCTCCCTTACGTGCCCCCACCCCAAAATACAAAATGCAGGTAAATTGTGTTTAGCAAAAAATTGTCTTCCACCCCCTCCCCACCCCCAACGTTGAGTTTTTTGCACAAACAGCAAGAAAACCGATTGCGGCTGCAGAGTTTGTTTCGCCTTCCTCCAAAGTATCTGAAAAAAGGAACAAAATATGACGTAGCGTTTCCTTCTCTTCCGGGAAGGGGTTGGCAGTTTCTAGAGGGGGTTTCCCCCCTCCTCGGCTTTTCCCAATAAACAAAAGCATTTAAACCTTCACTGTTTCCATGAGAGAGGACTTAATGGCATCTTCTAGGAGCTGATTGTCTGTAAAAGGCGCAGGGGTTTCTGGGACAGATTCGGACAGGCCAATGAGGGACTCCAGAAAGCACGGGCTCTGATCCCCGGGCTGAGGCAAGCTGGGGAAATTTGGCAACTGGAGCTGCAGCGCCGAAAAGTTGTCCAGGTTCTCGTACTCCTTCAACGAATTATAAAGGGGTCCAAGGTTGTAGTCCGAGAAGGACTGGAAGAAATCCAGAGAGTCAGAGGAGAGGCTTAGATCCATGTAGCTCCTGGAGCCTTGCTCCATTGAGGCGGCGACGGCGGAGGAGGAGGAAGAAGAGGGGGCACAGGAAGGAACGCCCGCAGCCTGGGTTGGCCTGGGCAAAGTTTCCTCAAGAAAACAGCTCACCCCCTGGTTGGCGTTCTCGTCCAAACACCCCGTGATGTCCGACGGATGGCTCAAGGGGTGGCCAGAGCCAAACTTGTCGGTGGCGCACTGGTTTTCCACGTCCACGCTGAAGAAGCCGGTCGGGTGGAAGGAGCTCAGGTTGTCCTGGCAGTTGCTGGCGGCGCTGCTGTCGTCCTCCGTGTCCGAGTCGTTGAAGTGGAGGATGCGGGCCAGGCCGTCGTCGTCCACGTCCGACTGCGACTTCTCGGAGGGGACGGCCTCGTACGGCTCCTCCAGGTCCTCGCTCTGGTTGGACGAGACCGAAGAGTCGGTCATGTCGCTGCTGCAGCTGTTCTCGCCAATGGCCTCCAGGTCCGTGCTGAACTGGAAGGCGGGCGCCAGCGGCACCGTCCTCTCCTCAAACGCCGCCTTGCCCACGGGGCACCCGAAGGGGAGCAGCCGGTCCCGGAAGAGGGGTTCGGGGTCTGGGCTCCTCTCAGGGCCGGGCTGGTTCTTCTCCAGCTCCAACTTCATGATGGTATGGATAAAATGCGTCTGAACCCGGGCTTGGTTGAACTCGATCCGGCCCTCTGTGTTGCCGCAGCCGTCCTTGGTGCAGCCACAGGGAAATGATGTGTGGTCCATCTGGGGAACAGAGGGGCTAGATGTTAGTCACACGGCCTTTACCTTTAAGCCTGACTTTTTATTTTTTTAAAAAGGACCTGCTTATAACTGGTTCAACTGCTTGCTTTTAGCCTGTCAAGTCTGACAATTGCATTTCTCTTTGTTTTATTCAACAACCAAAATTAAGGAAAGGGCTTTTAATAGTGCTGGGCTGCTATTCTTCTGGCGGTTCCCTCACTGCGAGAAGTGAGGTTACAGGGAACCAGGAAGAGGGCCTTCTTGGTAGTGGCACCTGCCCTGTGGAACGCTCTAGATATCAAGGAAATAAAGAACTACATAACTTTTAGAAGACATGTGAAGGCAGCCTGTATCTGATAGTGTTTAATGCATGATGTTTTATTATGTTTTCATATGTACTGGAAGTCACCCAGAGTGGCTGGGGAAACCCAGCCAGATAGGCAAGGTATAACTATAACAACAGCAACAATTCTACACTTCCCTTCAGCAAAAAATCACAGGTTGGTTCACAAGATAAAAACCATACAAGATAAAAACACAAATAAGTAATTAAAGCAACACCAAAAACACTCCCTCGTGTTTTAATACAGCTGCCAACACACCTGTGACTTCTACATGTCTGGAGAGGCTCACCTAAGCAGTAACATTTTAAGCAGGTGTCAAAGAGAGAAGACTGAAGGTGCCCCCGCCTGGTGTCAGTCACGTTCAAGTCAGTGTAGACAACACTGGGCTGGATGGCCAAATTGGCCTGACACAGTATAAGGTGGCTTCTTTTGCACCTATGCCCAGCTCGGCACAGAGGAACAAGGTGGAGCTGCAAACTTCTCTGTGTCCGCACTCGCCGGGAGGGTGGCAACACGAGACGGGGCCCTTTCTGTTGTGGCTCCCTGTCTATGGAATGCTATCCTAGAGAGGCTCGCCTGATGCCATCATTGCATGTCTTTATGCGCCAGGCAAAAACATCCCTCACTGCCCATGCTTCTGGGCCATTAAATAATCTACGGCCTGTTAAAGCTGAAATGGTGGGGACTGTGTTATTTTATTATGCTGCTTTCATTTTTACGCTCGGTACGATGTGTCCTTAATGTTGTACACTGCCATGGTAAAGGGTGGTTTATTAATTAAATAAACTGATAGATAAACAAAAACAGTGTGGAAAGGCTGGCCAATATCTGTTTGGTGGGAGAACTGCCGTCTCTCATCTGCCCTCTGGGCAAAAGCAACTGTTCACCCCAGCATCCTCCAAGGCTTTTTCCTCGTCTTGGAGCTTCTGACCTCGACCCTATATACCTGAAGGAGCGTCTCCACCCCTATCATTCAGCCTGGACACTGAGGTCCAGCTCCGAGGGCCTTCTGGCCGTTCCCTCCCTCTGAGAAGTGAGGTTACAGGGAACCAGGCAGAGGGCCTTCTTGGTAGTGGCTACAGCCCTGTACAACACCCTCCCACCAGATGTCAAGGAAATAAACAACTATCTGACTTTTAGAAGACATCTGAAGGCAGCCCTGTATAGGGAAGTTTTGAATGTTTGATGTTTTATCGTGTTTTTAATATTCTGTTGGGAGCCGCCCGGAGTGGCTGGGGAATCCCAGCCAGATGGGCAGCGTATAAATCATAAATTATTATTATCATTCCTTCTCAGGCCCAACATACTAGAAGCAGCGGAAGACCAGCTTCTCCCAGGGCAATCTCCGCTTTCCCCACACTGGGTCCCATAAGCCCTCTTCCCCGCAAGAAACCCGGCCAAGAAGGCCCCTCCTCACACACACCTGACATTTAATGCCCGCCAGGCTGCAGCTACACGTCTCGGGGTCGCAGAACTCCTGGCAGTCGCAGCCGCAGTCTTCCCGGGAGAGGCGGATGCTGTGCAGCTCCCGCTTCTCCTCTTTGTCGATCTTCTTGACTCCCATGGCCTTGAGCAGAGCTCGCCTCTTCTTGGCTGGGTACGGCTGGAGGAAGAAGCCGTCTTCCAGCTCGGTGGCACTGGCGTCAATGTCATCGTCAGAGATGTCTTCTGTGGTAAGCTGGTTGGCTTCCTCCGACTCCTTCGTACCGTTCATGGTGAGCTGTTTGGAAAAACGCAGAGGGAACTTGTGTAAGAAGCGGAAGCGCCTTTTAAGTACGTGTGATGGCCACCATCTTGAAATCAGAAAACCCTCCTTGTTGTCCAAATAATCTTTATTAGTTTTCCAGTTACCGTATTTTTTGCTCTATAAGACTCACTTTTCCCCTCCTAAAAAGTAAGGGGAAATGTCTGTGCATCTTATGGAGCGAATGCAGGCTGTGCAGCTATCCCAGAAGCCAGAACAGCAAGAGGGATTGCTGCTTTCACCGCGCAGCAATCCCTCTTGCTGTTCTGGCTTCTGAGATTCAGAATATTTTTTTTCCTTGTTTTCCTCCTCCAAAAACTAGGTGATATTAATATTGTAAAGATAAGAGATAAGAACTTGCTGAACTAACTATTGGAATTAGGATGCATGAAGGGAGGGTGCGGGGAAGTCAGAGAATGTGGTTATGAAAGTAAGAATTTGAAATTGTACATGTTTGTCTGTGTCTTTGTGTGTTTGTTATGTTTATATAAAATGTGAAAACTCAATAAATATTTTATAAAAAAAACAAAAAAACTAGGTGCGTCTTGTGGTCTGTTGCGTCTTATAGGGCGAAAAATACGGGTACATACTCCACATACTCATAATGTTTTGCATTTTACATTTATACTTGCTCCTAAGCGCTTACTTCCCTCCTTCCTTCTTCTGGTTTTTTTTATATCACATATAATTTTATCACATTATTTTTATCCATTTTGTATATTGTTATTCATTTTCCATATTTGTCCATAGTATATCCATAAACAAATAAATCCTCCTGATTATACAATTCTTGTTGTCTGTCTGTATTTATTTACAACTACTGTTGGTTGTATTAATCTCCTTATATATTTTGCTTCTTATTTTCATTATCCATCACTTTTCTTAATCTTTCTCGTTATGAGGTTTATTTCCAATTCTACTGGTTTCCCTATTTCATCTTATCTTTCCTATATACGACATAAATTTTCCCCATTCTTTTTGAAATGTTTCCTCGCCCTTGTTGTCTAATTTCCCTATTAATTTGGCTATTTCTGCATATTCCAAGAACGACCAGAAATTGTTTTTACAGCTAGAGGCGCCTCTGTGTGTTAAAAACCCAAAGCAGCCTTCTGCACGCCCACTCGGTGTCCCACCACTTACTTTCCACTTCAGGGCTTCCAGCTTCTCCTCTTTCAAGCGCTCCTTGAGCTTCTCCCGCCGGACAGCCTCTTGTTCCTTGGAAAACTCGGCCAGCGTGAACTCCCGGGAGAAGCCGTGCTGGCTGACCATGCCCAAGGTGCAGCCCCCGCGGCTGGGCACGCTGGTGAAGCCCTGGCAGCGCGGGAAGTAGAAGACGGTGACCCGGTCAAACTCCACATTGTTGCGCTTCAACCGTTTGCTTTTCTTCAGGATGGAGGTTGCTGGGAGAGAGAAAGAAGAGGAAGCGAGGTGAGCGCTTGCTGCAGTGGGTCATTTAAAGTGCATACTCAATGGCTGAGAATAGGGTATTGAAAGTGAATGAATCTTTACTGTTTCCATCTCCTATCTGCACCATTGAGGGCTAGAAACCTGCTTTTTCGAAAACCAAGAGGGGAAAACAGTTTACAACACTGAAGTGTCTTTTAACAAAAGGTCACCATGACCGCAATACCTCAAGGACTCCTCTTTCCATATGAACCTACCCGGACCCTGAAATCATCTTTTTTTCTAAAAAAATAATTCTTTATTCATTAAAAAATTTGCATGTCTATACAAACATTATGTACTATCTCTTAACAGGTAGAAAAAAGAAAATTATATAAAATAGAAAATTTATAAAGAAAGGAAAAAAGGAAAAATAAAGAAGCAACAAAGAAATAATAATAAAAAAGACCAAGTTATTTACATAGTAAAAGTACTCATTGACACAATCATCTTCTGAGGCCCTTCTTTGTGTGTCTTGAGAGGTCCAGAGGGTGGCAACTTGAGAACAGGGCCTTTTCTGCAGTGGCTCCCCATCTGTGGAATGCTCTCCCCAGGAAAGTTTGCTTGGTGCCTTCATTATACACCTTTAGGCACCAGGCAAAAGCGTTCCTTTTTAACCAGGCCTTTGGTTGATTTGATTGACATCCTACGCCCTTTTAAAATGTTTTTTTTTGGGGGGGGTATCGGTTGTTGTTTTTATTTTGATTATGTATTTTTTTGGTTTTATATTTTGAATTTATTCTGTGAACTGCCCTGAGACCTCTGAGCATAAGGCAGTATATAAATTCAATAAATATGAATAATAAATATGAATACAAGACTCCAAAAACAGACAGATTGGGGGCGCGAGAAGGAACCATTTCCCCACAAGCAGAAATCTAGCTGCTCAGGAATATTATATTATCACTGCAATTAGACACAGTGGTGCAAGTGTTGAGGGTTGAAGGTAAAGAGTTTCTGATGGCGATAACAGAAGGGGAGGGGACTGTTTTCCCTACAATAAGGATTCAAACCTAGGTTTGGCTGCGGCTAGTCCAAAACTCTAACCACTAAACCATACTGTGCTGGGTTTTTTGCTTTCCTTTTTTTTTTTTTTACTAAATTTCTCAAAGCGGCTTTTTAAAAAAGAGCTAACCAACCACCTTGCAAGACCCATGCGTAAAAGTAAAACAGGGGAAAAGACAGCTCATCTAGAGTAGGCATTCATTGTTATTTTTTCATCCTCTTGACGCCCTTACTCGGCCTTTTGAGGGTCCGAAGCCTTTCATATGCATGCTCTCCATCTTCCTGACAACAACCTTGCAAGATAGATCAGCATTACCATCACCGGGTCTGCAAGTCACACAAAGCAGAGGGCATCTCTGCAGAGAGTCTGGACTGCAATTCCTCTACCCACCTCTAGGGGCAGCAGCCCCCACTGCAACTAGGCAAGGAAGGGCAGAGCTATCAATCACTTTCTCGTTTTCCCATCTCAAGCTCAGTTCTCCACACTTACACTTACAGTTTTTCTCAAAACAAACAAGTTCTCATGAAAACCCATCCGTATTTTATCCTCCTAACTTGCACACACATTTTTGCAAAAGCACAGTGCCTTTTTGTTTTGCTATCCTGTGTGATATATGCAAATTTATGAACGTGTGCATTTTCCTCATTAGCTAAAGTGGTCTTCAAGTTAAGAACAGTTTCAGGTTAAGAACAGACCTCCAGAACGAATTAAGTTCTTAACCTGAGGTACCACTGTATTTTAATTTTTTTCTTTTTCTTTTATTATGTTTTTACTGAAATTTTATTGGTGGTAGCCGCCCAGAGCCTGGCTTTGGCTGGGGAGTATGGGGTATAAATATTATTATTATTCATTATTATTATTAATTATTATTATTATTTTGGAAGGTGCAAAATCCGGCAGGTTCAGCTTTTAAATGCAAGCTGGACCATTTTTTGCCTCTGACTCAGGCACATGTGGAAATATTACAGTGTGTCCCTCTCCCCCCCCCCCAGTCTGTTCTATACGCTGCTGCACATTTGCGCTGGCTCTCGTTTCGGCCGGGAGACTTGCGCTGTCACACCACACACACCCCAGATGCCGTCCTGCCAGCCAGCAGATTCCGCAAGACGCAGCCGCGTTCCTGGGCTCGTGACAGTTTTCTCAAGGAAATGTGTTTCCCCCGACAGCAACCAGGGACATGAAATATTCACTGCACGTTACTCCGGCCGTCTAAGCGCACCATCTGCGCGCTGTCAAGCCAAGGGAGTCGGGGGGGGGGGCTTTTTTTTTGCAGACCAGATTTCTCCCCCCCCCGGCCCTCCCGCCCACTTTACTTAAAAAGGAAGCACAGACACCCAAACAGTTTTGTTGGTGAAGCTTCTTGCGAGGGGCGGAGAGAGAGAGAACACAAGATCACCAAAACAGCAGCTTTGAGGACATTTCCTTCGCTGCCCTCTGGGAGGAACTGTAAATCTACAAGCCTAATCTCCAGGGGCTAATTTAAAAGCAGCTGCAAAGCCATTTCTCTTCACAGGCAGGTGATCCCAATGTAAACATGGCTAGCTCAAGTGCCTGGTTTATCTTAAAGCACCTGCACGATGCCTTTTATGTATATATATATATTTTGGGGGAGGTTTTTTTTAATGTTTAACCTTACAATCAGGTACTTCTGCCTAATGCAAATTCAAATGAAAAAGAGGCTTAAAACAAAGCAAAACAAAAAAACCCACCAAGCATAGCTGTCAAATTTTCCCTTTTCTTGCGAGGAATCCTATTCGGAATAAGGGAATTTCCCTTAAAAAAAGGGGGAACGTTGACAGCTGTGCCACCAAGACACACAAACATGCAAGTGGGTCAGCAGCGAGGAAAACCCCACAGGAAATGCAAAATTGCAGCCTGCAGAATCTCACAGGGGGTGGTGGCAAGCGGTTGCAAAGCTCAACCGAGTCAGAGGTTCTTGCAGAAATAAAGAAAGCGCTGCCACCAGCTGTGTGTCCTGGGTTCAAATCTTACCTCCCCCTTAAACTTGCACTCAGCAAGCCACTGAGCCACACACACACACACACACACACACACACACACACAAAACACACCCCTCTTCTGGGTAAGAGCACCACAGAGCAAGTGCTTGAAAGTCAGTGTGGTGTAGTGGTTAGCGTGTCGGCCTAGGAGCTGGGAGACCAGGGTTTGAATCCCCACTCAGCCACAAAGTTCGCTGAGTGACCTCGGGCCGGTTGCTCTCTCTCAGCCTAACCTACCTCACAGAGTTTTTGTGGGGATTAAATAGGAAGCAGGGAAGCAGTAGTACCTTGGGTTACATACGCTTCAGGTTACAGACTCCGCTAACCCAGAAATATTACCTCGGGTTAAGAACTTTGCCTCAGGATGAGAACAGAAATCGTGTTTCGGCGGCGCAGCGGCAGCAGGAGACCCCATGAGCTAAAGTGGTGCTTTGGGTTAAGAACAGTTTCAGGTTACGAATTAAGTACTTAACCCGAGGTACCACTGTATTCGGGACGTGGGTGGCGCTGTGGGTTAAAGCCTCAGCGCCTAGGACTTGCCGATCGAAAGGTCGGTGGTTCGAATCCCCGCGGTGGGGTGCGCTCCCGGTCGTTCGGTCCCAGCGGCCTGCCAACCTAGCAGTTCGAAAGCCACCCCCGGGTGCAAGTAGATAAATAGGGACCGCTTACTAGCGGGAAGGTAAACGGCGTTCCGTGTGCTGCGCTGGCTCGCCAGAGCAGCGATGTCCACGCTGGCCACGTGACCTGGAAGTGTCTGCGGACAGCGCTGGCCCCCGGCCTATAGAGTGGATGGGCGCACAACCCTAGAGTCTGTCAAGACTGGCCCGTACGGGCAGGGTACCTTTACCTTTACCTTACCACTGTATTCTGCCTTGAGCTTCCTGGAGGAAAGGCGGGATATATATTTAATAAAGTTAAAAACTAAATGTGGGATCACCCTTTCGGCGAACTGCTAGCATATGCCTCAGTTCTCCCTCTCGCTGCTTTAAATGATTTTTTTTTTAAAAAATAACCTGTAAAAATTTAATACAAAGTTTGGGAACCGCAAGTTTTACATCGTCTTTGCCATGTCCCATCCTGCCCTCCCACCCCCCAAATGCCACGGCAGGATACGACCCGCACCCATTATCCTAGACTCAAAAACCACGTGGGAAGGGGCTGCCAACTCCATTATCCGTCATCTGTAAGACCTCATGCTGGCCATTTTGGGATCTCCGGGGCTGCGAATTCCAGGACAATCGCAAAGGAAGCCCTGCGTCGCCACCAGCTGTGGCCTGGCACCTGCTGTGGCTCCACAAATAGCATGCAAATCCACCCTGCGCTGCCAAATTATGCAGATGGGCTGCAGATTCAACAACTTCACACTCCTGTCCCTGTTTTCAGCTACTCCTTTCCAACACAGGCAACTTGAAGGAATACCCTGCACTGATTTCTCAAGGTGGACTCCGTCTCCAATTGCAGAGAAAGAGGCTTGCTCTTTTTTGTGGGTTTTTTTTTTTTTTTTTTTGCTATAAATAAAACACACGCAAAAATGGCTCTCCGTCCGCTATGAATAATGTCACAATGCTTAGCTTGGAGCAGTTTAGCTTAAGATGGCAATTTACTGAATTCAATTAAATGGAGATACGCAGGGGTCAAACCAATCTAAGTGCATCTGTGAGACACGTCTGTGCTGGCTTAGCCAGATCGATCTGGAATCCATTTACTTAAAAACTGGCACAACTCTTCCTTATATTAAATAATGAGGCTCCCAGGCCTCTCGGGGGAGAGGAATGAAGCTCAACAGCTGCTCAGGAATCTGCAGGCAGAGGATTAAAAATGTAGTATCTATAGTGACCAGTTTCCAGCTCGCCTCCTACCTCCACCAAACGCGCTTTGCTAGGGAGAGAAAGCATGCTGGTCATCATTTAAGGTACTGTAACCTTGATCCTACTTGCAAAAAAAGTCAAGGTGTCCGCGATCTTCCTGAAGCTGAGATGATGCGCAAAGCCTGCACGATTTAAACTACGTCTAGTTTTGCAACCCCCAAATGTATTTTTAAAAAATGCAACTTAAAACCAAGATGGTTTTTAAAATGTATGTATGCATGTAGGGACGGGTGGCGCTGCAGTCTAAATCACAGAGCCTGGGGCTTGCCAATCACAAGGTCAGTGGTTTGTATCCCTGCGACTGGGTGAGCTTCCTGTTGCTCCGTCCCTGCTCCTGCCAACCTAGCAGTTCCGAAAGCACGTCGAAGTGCAAGTAGATAAATAGGTACTGCTCCAGGTGGGAAGGTAAACGGCATTTCCTGTGCGCTGCTCTGGTTCACCAGAAGCGGCTTAGTCATGCTGGCCACATGACCCGGAAGCTGTACGCTGGCTCCCTCGGCCAATAAAGCGAGATGAGCGCCACAACCCCAGAGTTGTCTGCGACTGGACTTAATGGTCAGGGGTCCCTTTACCTTTTTATGTATGCATGCATTTAAACACTGCAAGCAAGATACTTTCACAAGTCCTGTGAAAAGTTACAAAAAAAACACACACCCAAAATGTTCAAGAAAATGGCTTTGGGACTCAGTTCAAATGTGGACGATTTTTCTTTTGCTCTAAGCGCTTCTTGTCCAACAATGGTGAGCAAGAATGAAGGCCTGAAGAGAGCTCTCCATTGCAGATGCCGGTGATAGCTGTTACAGACAGTGACCAACACAGGCACACTGAAGCTTCTGCACATCTAGTGCCCCATTAAGAGGCAAAAACATATGAGCCAGCCTTTGGAGTGATGCACCAGAGAGCTCGCTTTGATTTCTGCAAGCCTATCCAAAGGTTTCTCCCCCTGCCAGCCAGTTGGCACGTCTTTCTCGGTTCTGCTCAGTAATGTCAAAATATATAAACACATATTACCGAGAGAGAGAGAAATAAAGTGAAATATTTGTTAATATCAGACTTCAGCATTTGCAGTCATCCCTTGAATGGTTTGCAATGCTTCCCCCCACTTCCCCCCCCTCCAAACAAGCCAGGAGGAGAACACAGAAAGTTCATTGTTGCCGCACAAAAGCCAGAACACAAAAAGAAAGCCTCTTTGTTGTTACAAGACTTCCAAGGCATTTGGAGACGGCAGCCGGTTTGCAAGCGTCGCCTAAGTGGACCTCAGAGGCAAAACAGTCCCAGCAGTCTGGTACAAGATTTACCGATTAAAACGATTGCTTTTCACTGGAAGGGCAGCGGAGAGCATCTCTGCAGGATGTTAGGTGCAGTCCGTGGAGAGGTTTGGTGAAAAATGCAAAACTGGAAGCCATTATTAATGGCAGGAGGGGAAGGATGCTACAAGCCTCCGCCGAGGACAGCCAGAAAACGTTAATTTAGCACACTGGATATTTTGCTGAATAAACTGGAATGCCCGTAACTGAATTCCACTTGGATTCAATGAGCTAGTTAATTCTTTATTTTTTTTTAAAAAAGTGTACGCCCAAAGCTAATTTGTCAACATTTAATTGCTCGTTTTAACATTAAAAAAACAGCAACACTTAACTTGAATTAACACGCTTTGAGAAGCATGAGAAGCATTTCTCAAAATGCAGGATTCTCACCCACTGGAAACTCAATTTTCCTTCCCTTTGGGTAGGGAACTGCCCTGCAATGTGTTGCTATGAAGAGCGGCAGACAAATACTTTCAAAGCTCTTCCAGGACTTCTCACGCTGACTTTCTGCCCCCTCCCCTCCTTCTTCATGCCTGCCTGACACCATCACTTCAACCATTTCCGTTTCACGCGTGTAAACAGGCAACTCGTAAGGTAATTCCCACGTCTATCGCATAGAAGGTTTCTGCAAACATATTGCCCAAACCGGCAGGAATAAGCAGACTCCAGAAGAGAAGCAAAAAACTTTGGGCCAATGCAAAGTCCACATTAGAGAGAGGCAGTGTGGAGTAGTGGGTAGAGTGCTCAGTCAGAAACACGGAGACTCCACGTTCAAACCCCACTTTAGCCACGAAGCTCAGTGGATGGCTTTGGACAGCTCAGACATTCGCACACTCCATCTTAACCTCAAGAGTCGTGTGTTCGAGTCCCACGTTGGACGAAAGATTCCCGCATTGCCAAGGGGGTTGGACTAGATGACCCTTGTGGTCCCCCCTTTGAGCTCTACGACTCATTCGCACAGCCTAACCTACCTACCTCGCAGCATCGTTGTGCGGCCAAAGACGGGGCAGCAGAACTGTATTTGGCTGCCGCGACCTGCTTGGAGGAGAAGGCGTAACGTAAGAAGTGAATATACTTACGGGTGAAATCGGAGCTCAAGGCCAAGCTGGGCTTGATGCCTCCTCCTCCTCGTGAGTTTTCCTCGTCCGAGTCCCAGCCTGAAGACGCCGACGAGGAGGAAGAGAAAGGCGAGCAGGAAGATGAGGAGAAGTAGGGGGCGTCGTCTTCCAGTTCATTGTATTTTCTTTTTAGCACCCCCGTCATGGTTAGCGAGAGGTTTTCATATAACTGAAGAGAAAGCAGAGGAAGAAAGGGAAAATGAGTGAGCAATCTTTTGGGTCACACTGGGGATGAGGCTCTGCAATAAAACCCGGCGTGAAAAGGAGAGACAGACAGAAATCTGCCTTGCTGTTTGCTGCGAGCCACGCAGCCTTTTAAACGGCGCTACAGCTAATCAGAGCAACTTCCTTCAACAACAGTGGACGCTCAGGTTGAGAACGTGATCTGTGCGGGATGCACGTTCGCAACCCAGAGTGTCTTCGCAGGTTGCGATTCGGTGCTTCTGCGCATGCGCAAGGCGTGATTTAGTGCTTCTGCGCATGTGTGATTGCGGAAACCTGGAAGTAACCCGTTCCGGTAATTCCAGGTTTCGGCGGTCCACAACCCACAAAAACGCAACCTGAAGAATCTGTAACCCAAGGTATGACTGTACTGCCTGCCAGACATGGCTGGACTCCCAACTTTCATCATCATCATCATCATCCCATGAAGTGATGGCCACCAACCTAGGCTCTGTGTGGCTACTAGCCACGATGGCTAGGTGGTCACTCCACTGTCGGGAGGCAGCATGCTTCTGAATACAGTGGTACCTCAGGTTAAGAACTTAATTCATTCTGGAGGTCCATTCTTAATCTGAAACTGTTCTTAACCTGAGGTACCAATTTAGCTAATGGGGGCCTCCGCTGCTGCTGCCGCGCAATTTCTGTTCTCATCCTGAGGTAAATTCTTAAGCCAAGGTACTATTTCTGGGTTAGCGGAGTCTGTAACCTGAAGCGTCTGTAACCTGAAGCGTCTGTAACCCGAGGTACCACTGTACAGTATACCAGTGGCTGGGATCTCTCGATTCCTGCAAACCCTATTACCAGCTCAGCTCTCCCGTCAGGCCTCCTGCTGGGGGGCTGGAATCCCAAGAGCAGACGCCGGCAAAAATCACGACGCGGGGAAAACTGTGAAGCCAGCCAATTCCTCTACCAAGCTCCATCTTTCCTCCAGACATTGCGATATGTCGGTATATCGTGATGTTTATCTGGTGACACATCGCAATGTTGAAAACCAGATATAGCCCAGCCCTAGTGAAAAGAAGCCATTTCTACCCTTGGGGTGGCCAACCATGTCCACAACATGCTTTGGGGGACAGGCTGCCTAATGCAGATTGCCTGGACCCCTTTCCCTGTGGAGGTAAGTGCTGCGATTCCTAGATCGCATGGGGTTGGACTGGATGACCTTTGGGTCCCTTGCGACTGCGATTCTATGAAAACAAAGCCGTTCTGCGTGTAAGGCACCGGTGGGAGCCAGGATCCAGAGGTCTGTTAAGGTTTGTGTGTGGCCCAAAGGACACGCCTTCTAAGTTAATTTTGAGGCCTGGACTATGGTTTCAAAATGGCCACACGACTAGGGTACGGAGGGGGGAGGCAGACGTTCAATAAAGCAGAAAGCACCCCCCCTTGTAGCGCATGGAACTAGCCAAACTGGCTCCCGTCTAATTGCTGCCGACAAGCTGAGTGTTCCTGTAGCCGAAGACGAGGCTTGCAAAAGTCGGGAGGAGAGGGGGGGCGAACAAAGCCAGAGCATGAATCCGAGCACAACATGTTCCTCCGTAAGGGAGCCCGACGCCTGTGCCTTTAATGCAAGCCCCTCGCTGCATTAGCTCATGCTAATTAAACAAAGCCACTCTGCAGGGAATGCAGCCAGGAGCAGGTCCCTGATGGGAAAACACAGCCTTCTCGTGCGCTGGAAAAACACAAAACACCCAGGCGCGGCAACAGACCACGGCAGAAAATGCAGGGGGTGGGAACGTTTGCCACGGATCCACTCTGGATTATAGACCCTATTTGCTTCCCATCAGAAGAGTTTTCCCCAACCGGGCGCCCTTCATATGCGCTGGACTACAACTCCCATACAACGGGCGCCGTAGCGCAGAGCATCTGAAGGGCGGCCCGGTTGGGGAAAAGCAGCGTTGGAACAACAGGGCGAATGCCCCTGAAAGTCAACCGCCGGCGGTGTTTGGATTGCTGCATTTTCTTCGTTCTTTCCCAACTGTCCAAACAAACAAAAACCCACAACCCCTTTGGAGATTTCTGGCCTGTAGCTCCTTTGGAACAAGTTCTGCCAACCGAGGAGACAGAGTGTTCCTGTGCAAATCGCACCAGCTCAACAGAAACAGGGGAAAGGAAAAGGGGGGGGACGGACGACTCGCACAAGGAATCAATGCTTATTTGTCACCCAGAGCGAAAGCCCAGCCCCAATCTCTGGCTCAAAACATCCCCTCCCCAGCTCCCCCTGCAATTTGCAAGCATGTAATCTCCAGCCACCTCCGCAAAGGTGTCTGCTGCAGGCGCAGCCCACAGGTGACATCCGGCCCCCAGAGCGCTCTGACTCGGCCCCTTGCGGCACACACTTTTCTCTAATCTTTCACGGTTCACAAGTTCACAAGGTAAATGAGCAAAGTTTGCAACTGCATTTCCTAGACATGTCACTGGTACTGCTATCTGTTACAGTCAGGCAAGGAAAAGAAATCTGGGCACCTTCTGAAGCCAGGCCTATTCACCCCACACCTATGAAAGCCTTACTTCTGGGCAGTGGAACATGTATCACTAAGTGCCACCCAATTGTGCTGGCCAATGTTAGAAAGTCAGGTATAGAAAGCTATGTGCTAAACGGCTCCTTAAACCAGGATCACCTCAACAGTCACCAAAATGGAATGCCTAGTTTCATTACAACTTTTTAGTTCTTGAAATTCGTTCCAATTGTGCAAATAAAATATAACAGATAGAATTCTACAGGGTGTATTGCTGGTGTGTGAAAACGGTCAAGACCCAAGAACCCCCAGGCATGCACCTCCAGATGGAGGAGACATTAAGCCCCATCCTGGTGCAAATGGCTGATAAAGGTGAAGGGACCCCTGACCATTAGGTCCAGTTGTGGCCGACTCTGGGGTTGCGACGCTCATCTCGCTTTATTGGCCGAGGGAGCTGGCGTACACCTTCCGGGTCATGTGGCCAGCATGACTAAGCCGCTTCTGGCGAACCAGAGCAGCACATGGAAACGGCGTTTACCTTCCCGCCAGAGCAGTACCTATTTATCTACTTGCACTTTGACGTGCTTTCGAACCGCTAGGTTGACAGGAGCAGGGACCGAGCAACGGGAGCTCACCCAGTCACGGGGATTCGAACCGCCGACCTTCTGATCGGCAAGTCCTATGCTCTGTGGTTTAACCCACAGCGCCACCAAGTGGAAAATGTGCCTGGTGAATTTTGGCCACAAAGGTTTGAACCCTAAACAGGCAGGATATTAAATAGAAACCCTCATTTTATTTTCCCCACTTTATTTCCCAGTGTTTCTTCAACCTTGGCTTTCCTTTGATACTGCTGGACTACAACTCCCATCATCCACAGCCTGATGGTCATGGATGATGGGAGTTGAAGTCCACTAAACTAGCTGAAAGGCAAGACAAGAGGCCAATGTTCACCGGGAAGGTGGGGAGTCCGTCCCCATGCCGCAGTTTGCCCCCACCCACTTTGAGGGCAAGCTCCACCCACGAATGACGCTTCACAACTTTTGAGTATCCGGTGCACTGAGCAGCATTACGGCTGAAACCTATTCTGAATTTGCTTGGTGGCCATTGTCAGCCGGAACGCACGCAACCTCACAGCTCTAACTGAGCACCTTACAAAACACCGAACGCCTCTGGCTAGCCTTGAGCGGAAGTGCTTCCTTCGATGGCTGCAGGAATGCCACTCGACAAGCCTTGGCCGCCTGCTGGTGTGTGCAGAGGAACCCAGGCACATTTTGGGTGAGGATTTCTGGGTGAGCAAGCCCCCGAGCCTTAACAAGACTTCCCCCAGAGTTCCTCCTCTTCACGCGAGCCCTTCAAAACACCCAAACTCCGCTGAACTTGCTGCTTGTTTACCCTGAGCCCAAACGAAGAGCAAAATGAGGCATCGCAGCTAGGCTATATTACTCACCCGGTGAATCAAAAGCAGGGCTGCTGAACGCACCGGTTCGTCCACACCAGGCACCGAAATAAAACAAGTAGATAACAACAAATTGCAAAAGCAGGAGGGTGAGAAGGTGCTAACATTTTATTTAAATTTATCGGGGTGTGTGGAAATGAAGATCTGGCAGAGCAAGGAGGCGGGTTCGAATCCTTGCTTGCTTGCTTTTCTACTTGCAAGGAATTGTGTGTGTGTGTTGTGTAGGGGAACGATGCCTCCCCAACCCACCTGCAGTCGAGCCCTGCAGAAACATACACACACACACACACCACCAATGCAATACATAGAATCAGAGGACCTTAGAGTTGGAAGGGACCCCAAGGGTCATCTAGTCCAACCCCCTGAAATGCAGGAAAAATCAGCTAAAGCATCCATGACAGATGGCCACCCAACCTCTGCTTAAAAACCTCCAAGGAAGGGGAGTCCACAACCTCCCGAGGGAGAACTGTTCCACTCAAGCCTTCAAAAGCCCTCAACCAAAAGGCACTGATTTGGGTACCCATAGCATTTAAAAGGTTAAATATATTAGCTATCCCTGTTTCACCAAAGGTCACATTCGGTTACCAGAAAGAGTTACTTGGGCAGACCAATTGTGCGAATCCTAGATGAGGAAGCAGGCTGTCAATTGCTTTGCCCGGCTTTCTGCATATAAAGGCAGGCTTTAAGAATACAATAGTTTATTTTACTCAAGCCATACTTACAATCTATGCCCTTTAATTCTGATTTTATAATGAATTGATTTTAGAATGCTGTATTATTTTACTGTTGTTAGCTGCTCTGAGCCCAGCTTCGGCTGGGGAGGGCAGGATATAAATAAATTATTATTATTATTATTATTAATTCAGAACTATGATGCTGAACTAAGGCTACTCAGGGATGGGCACTCTGCACATGGTCAGACAGACACATCTTATCAATCCCTCCAGGCGGCCCAGGGCCATCTGTACGTGAGCCCAGGCTAGAAATATTGCTTTCTTAAAAAAAGATGGAGAGAAGAGTTTTAAAACACCCCCT